CTGATGCTAAACTCTATTATTCCAGGGTTACTAAGTCTTGTATCTTCCCTCAGAAATTAGGCTCTAGAGACTTTAGGAAAATCTTTAATTTTAGATTAAGGTAAGTCAAACATTTCATCTCTTGTACATGAGACTGATCTTATAACCCCTCCCAAGGATAAGGCAGAACTATTTGCAAAAAACCTTTTTTCTAATTTGACTCTTGAATCTTATGACCATACTCTTCCTACCATTCTAGTTAAACAAGTTAACCTATTGTTAAACATTCAAATCACTCCAGTTTCCGTTACTAAAGTCATATCTCAATTAAACTCTTGTATAGCTTGTGGTCCAGATAACATTCCTGTCAAAGTCTCATAAATGTTTTCTCCAGAACTCTCTTCAATTCTCTCTAAAGTGTTTAATAAGTGCTTGACTGAATCTTGTTTCCTGCATTCTGGAAAATGGCATCTGTGATTCCAGTTTTTAAAGAACATTATCATAAAGAACATATCTAAAGCTTTCAATAAATTTTGGCATGCTCAATAAAGTTTAGCCTGGAGAAATTTTTGTAGTTATCAAATCATTTCTGACCGCTTTATTAAAGTCATTCATGAAGGCCAACACTTTTCCTCATTTCCAGTAACTTCTGGGGCACTATACTTTGTCCTATTTTGTTTCTTATTTATATTAATAATCTTCTATCTAAAGTGGAAAAAAGTCTTTTAATTTTAATCACTTCGAAAAGCCAGCTGATCTTGAATCTGATCTTACTTCTCTAAAAGATTTGAGACAAGAGATTGGGTCTTGCAGTCGCTTAACTGTTTCTCTTTATCGTGTTTGCCATTCTTCAAATTTTATGATGTAGAGCATCTACAAATCTCATATTCATCCCTGTATGAAATACTGTTGTCATGTTTGAACTGTTTCTTCTAGTGATGCTCTTTTAGACAAGGTCCAAAACACATTGTAAACATAGTTGAACTTGCTATACCTGTTAAGTTTGAGCCTCTCTCCCATTGTTGTAAGGTTGCATCTCTTTCTCTTTTTTACTAAAACTTTCATAGTTGCGACTGAGCTATAGTCTCTAGTTCCATCAACCAAAGGTTGCTTCTTGCTTGAATCATCTTTCAGCAAAGCCACATCCTTTTACTGTATCTGCCCTGCCTACTCTTAAAAATCTTTTTCATCTAGTTTTTTTCCCTAACTTTAACCCTTTAAAACTCTCTCCCATCTTCATATTTCCTGACTCATACTACCTGAAACTTCTCAAGTCTTCTGTCAACCGTTTCCTTGCTCTTTAATTGTGTTCTTTGTTCTTTTGAAATAGTCTTTTAGTTTTAGTGAAATACCATGGTTCAAATCCTTGCTTTTCCCGCTTTTTTTTTTTTTAATTTTATTTTTAATTTTTTTATTTTTTAAAGTAAAAAATACTTTTATAAAGTTTAACTTTTATATAAAAATTACATTGGGGAAAAATCTCCCTAACTTTAATTTAAAGCATTTATTTGCCATTTTTACAGCTTGGACAGTGCGTGATCGCACGCTGTAACTGACCATGCTAATAATATTTTTTCTTTACCAAGGCGGTTTTGATGTTTTAACAATTTAAATGACATTAAAAAAATTATTATGTTATAAATAACTTTAAATCGTTGATCTTTTCTTAAGTTTTTATTTTACGCAAAGGCTTTAAATAAAATAAAAAAATTATTATAATGATTGTTTAAAATAAACATATTTTGTGTAAATTAAAAAATGCTATATTTAATTTTTTTTTATGTTTGCATGTTTTATGACAAATTTAAATATAATAATTTGTTTGAAATTATTTTTCCATGTCTTTTTAAAAATCTTTTGAAAGATAATTTTTTAAGTTACTTTAAATTATGAAAAAGTTGAATTAAATCTTCCATTGCAAATGATTTAATTGCTTTATTTTTATTGTTTCTATTTTTACAAAGAATTGTTTGAATATTTTTTTAACTCGACTAACTAATCAGAACATGAAATGATTAAAAATTACTATTTTAAATAAACTATTGTATTTTTTAAACTTTTTTTTTATATACAAATTTTTGAAAAAAATAAGTGTTTATACAATTTAAAAATAATACATATAACAGGCTTGGTCGGGAAGCGGGAGCGATCGCTCTCGATTGCTGACCACGTAAATAATATTTAGTTGCGAAAAGCTGGCCAGATTTTTTAGTCGTTTTGAGAACATTTTAAAAAGCAAAAAAAAAAAAAGCGACAAAGAATAATTGGACCAATGAGAGACAATTACAAAAAAAAAAAAAAGTAGGCAAATAAAATATCTTTAAACGCGAAAAAACTTTAAGCTAAATAAATTACATTTAAAACAAATATTTTCGAAACATCGCTTTTTTATAATTTTTTTTATAAAATTAAGCGATGTTTTTTGTAACAACTTACGATTGTTTAAAAGGGAAACAAATATTCTTTATTTAACTAAGTTTGCAAGTTTTAGTTTTACTTAAACTAAATTATTTTATAAATAAAAAAGTTAATTTTTTTAATACCTATTTTATGTTTCGCGTAGTTAAAAAAGTTTAACATATTTGAAGCGATTCTTCTTAGTAAGATAAACAAATGAAATAATTAAATCATTGAATTACTATAGGAATTAAATTATCAAGATAGAAATCAACTAAAAAGGTTAAAAATACTTAATGACCAGGAAGCGAAACTGCTTCACAATATCGTTGATGATGTTTAGTGAGTGGGCTTTTTAATTTTAATTAGTATTTAAAGCAGAAAAAAGTATAACGAGTTTTAAGAATGGCAACTTAAGCGAAAATAATTAAAGTTAGTAAACCAATATCTAGAAACTTTTCTTTATATCTAATTATTTGCTATTATATATTTGTGTTCTGTCGTGACCTCAGGCGCGATGCTTGTTTATCCGCAAGTTACTTTGTATGCGTTGTTTGTGTTTAGTAACCAGAAACTTCTTATTTGTTTGTTACATAATTAGTTTTATTAACTTTAACGATTATAACTTTGAAAACGCAATTATTTTTGTAAGTCTTTGTTTAAATCATAAAAATTGCTTCAAAAGATCAAAAGACATTACGATAAAAAACAGATACACAAAATTACATTTACATAAAGAATACAATCTCTTTTAAAATAAAAAATAAGAATATACAAATAAAATCTATGATTTATAATAAACTTTTAAAATGTTGACAATTTAATTAATATATATTTAAAACATTTATTTTCATAAACAAATAATATGTATTCTTAAATCAATGCTAGAAATCTCAAAATGTAACAAATTGTGAATAATACAATTTCTAAAACATTTTAACAGAATGCACTAGAACTTTATTTCGCTTATTCAGCGTTTTTTTTGAACCAATAGAATTAGTTTGTTTGTTAATTTAGCGGGTTTTTAGTGTTCGCAAATATTCTTTTTATTCTTTCGCACAAAAATGTTTTGAGAACATTCAAGTTTTTTATGTTTCCATGTATGTCCGTAAAACAAAAATTCTTTGTTTCGTACATAAACGTAAATGTTCTCAAAACGACTAAAAAACCTGGCCAGTTTTACGCAACTAAATATAATTTCCGTGGTCAGTATTCGAGAGCGATCGCTCCCGCTTCCCGACCAAGCCTGATATAACTTTTTTTAGTATTTTAAACGAAATTCATTTAAAATACTAAAAAAAGTTCATTCATTTTTTTTAGTAATTTATTTTAAACGCAATTACAAATGTAACAAAAAGTAATTTTCACTTTACACAAAAAGTAGTTTTTGCTTTTAGTTTGAGTTTTTTGAGTTTTATTTTAGTGCTTATATATTTTCTTTTTCGTTTAGCTTTTTTCTTTTTGTATTATTAATTTTTTTAATTTTCTTTCTAGTTTAAGTATAGCTAGCATTTCTTTTTTCAGCGCATTTCTAAAGTGTTTAAAAATCATTTAAACATTTAAACAGTTGTGGTCAAGTTGTCAAAAAATAAAATCATTTGCATGGTCAGCATTAGCGCTCAATCACATACCATTTCTGTCCAAGCCTGTTTTTAAAAAGTTATTCCATCTTTTGTTTTTTAAATAGTTCAAAATTGTGTCTTAGTGGCTGAAGTGGTTAACTTGCTCTGAAGTCACTTTCTGTTGTTTGCATATTAATTTTCTAAAATCTTTTCCAGTTATCTAAAATACAAATTGAAACTTTAAAGTTCTATTGTTGATTTTTAAAAATATAATATACTATAACAAACAAAAAAAGAGAGTTTTTAAAAAGCCTAAAATTGCAATAAGCATCAAAACAGCAGTAGAAATTTTTTGCACATACTTCATGATAGAGATACCTAAGCACATTGATAACTTAAGTTATCAATGTGCTTAGGTAATTAGTCTCTGCATTCAAAACACATCAAAATTTCACATTCAAACTTTTATTTTCTTCAAAATAAAAAAATGGAACAAGGTTCCTAATTAACTGCGGATGGTCTGGAATAAAATTTAATAAAAATTTAACATAAGCTTAATAAAGAAAAGTCTGCACCCATTTTTTTTTAAGAAGTTTACAATTTTACAATAAGAAGTTATAAAGTATTGAACATTGTCAATTCAAAACAAAGGTTTGACAGATTTTTATTTCCTACCACTAAATAGCGGTTTGCGCAATGACTATCAAAGCGTTTAATATTTTAAATTTATGTCATAAATTATAATTTTTATTCATAACCTTAAAAGCTATTATATTTTATTCATAACCTTAAAAGTTTTAGTAGGTATATTTATAGAAATAGTTGGTGTAAAATAGACCAAAAACTCTATTTTTTGAGTCCAAAATGCTAGTTATTGTTAATAATAAGAGATTTTTTTCAAGATATTTAATAAACTTGAAGTAAAAATAATTTTTTTTACTAAAATATTTAAGAAAAATTTATTTTTTTAGTTTTATTTTTAAAGTTATTTTACATTTTATAAAAAACCTTTCATCATAAAAATATATAAAATGTAACATAATTATATCATTTGAATTGTAGGAATAGGTGCTGCTTTTGCTGTTCTAAGCGATAAAGATAAGCGAAAACGTTATGATCAATATGGTGAACAACTTGGTCCTTCACAATCTACACAAAGATACCATAGGGAAGAGTTTTTTGAAGGTGTAACTAACACTTATATAATTTAGTACTAATTTTGTTTAACGTCTTATAACATAAAATATTTGTTTCAAAAGATTTTGCAACTACAAAATTATAAATTAAATAAATATATATAGGAGATGTGTCACCAGAAGATTTGTTCAATATGTTCTTTGGTGGTGGATTTCCTCAAGGTAAGGTATTTTTTCAGTTTTAATTATATGGGTTAAGGTATTTTAAACTTTTTTCTATTATGTTTTTTGAGTTATCTTTTGTTATCTTTTGCACACTTTTAATTTTGAAATCCAAACTTTAATGAAGACAATTTGATTAGAATTTTAGTTTTTTTTGTACTTTTTCTGCACAAAATGTAATTTAAAACATGATAAATGATGTTATAAATGACAAGCTGGAGATTCAGAAATATATATATATATATATATATATATATATATATATATATATATATATATATATATATATATATATATATATATATATATATATATATATTTCTGAATCTCCAGCTTGTCATTTATAACATCATTTATCATGTTTTAAATTACATTTTGTGCAGAAAAAGTACACAAAAAGCTAAAATTCTAATCAAATTGTCTTCATTAAAGTTTGGATTTCAAAATTAAAAGTGTTATTTTCTTGAAATATTTTTTTAAAAAAAACTCAAATATCTGATCAACAATATATTGAAAATGCCATTTTTATTCCCAGAGTAATAATAAATAATAATTCAGTTTATGTAATAATATTCATAATGAGAATATATTTCACAACAATGCTTTTCCATTAGAGAATGTTAACTTTCAGAACCATCAAAACAACTTAAGCTAATTTTGTTGTTAAAAAAAAAAATTCATTAACTTTTTCTCACAAAATTTTTCAAAAGTAAAAATCAAAACTCTAATAAAAAAAAAATGTTTACATAGTTGTATATGTTTCATAAAAAAGCATCCTAGCCAGACAATGACAAATCTTAGTCTAACACTAATGTTTATGTTAATATGTTTATGTTAACAATAGCTTGATCTTCATTCTATGAGGTGACATTTTCCAGAGTTGGTTTCGTTGTTTTCTTATGAGGGTTATTTGATGCAGGTTCTTTTATATACAAATGAATGAAGTAGATTTATTTCTTGACTCTACTGTCTGGTTCTTCATTAAATACATCTATGGCGTTCTAATAACTGTTATTGTAAATGACTATATTTCATTTAAGTCAAGAGTTAGGATTATATTAGAAAGTTATTGACAATTTTTTCGAAAATTCTTTCTATAGAATACAGGTTCTGATTTTGAGTTTAAGTCATTAACTAAATGCATTAGAACAGATTATGTTATTAACTAAATGCATTAGAACAGATTATGTTATTAACTAAATGCATTAGAACAGATTATGTTATTAACTAAATGCATTAGAACAGATTATGTTATTAACTAAATGCATTAGAACAGATTATGTTATGAACAAATTTATGAGTATGATTAGAGGAGATTATGTGAATTAAATTAATAACTGCTAACCAATATCATGATAATTTATTGACATTTTGGAAGCATTGTTTTTAAAATTCACATTGTTTTTTCGATGCAAATATAAATTCCTTTTTGATTAAAGGATAATTTTTTAAAATGAAAGAATTTCAGACATTTTAATAATGGAGTAATTTTGTGATGAAAAATGTTATTTTAACCAGCTTCTAACATGTCATTTTTATTCAAGTTATAAACAAAGTTATTTAACCAAAAAAAAGTAACTATTTATTATAGATTGAATATGTTCTTTCTTAATATTTGTTTTTAAAAATTTATTAAATAATAAATGTGAAAGAAAAAAAAAAAAATTATTATATAAATAAAACTTTTTGGCCTAACATAACTGTAAATTCAATTTAACATTTTCATTTACAAATGCTATAGTATTAAATATTTTCTTTATGGGTTTAAATGCAAGATTTTTGTTTATTTGGTTATTTTTTCAATTATTTTTATATGATATTTGGTATTTACTTTTGTATTTCATTAATTTGATTTTTGTTTCCTTTTTTTTTTTTAACTGTTTTAATCAGAACTTCTAAATTTAAAACATTAAGTTTCTTTCTCACAAATGCAATATATGTAATTAAAAAAAAATTTATTTTCTTCATAAAACGTAAAACATTTCATGTCTTTTACATTTTTTCATGTCTAACCAGACATTAAATTGTTAAACTTCATCTAATACTGATTTGGAAAATATTATACCAAAAAAAGTTAACCTATTTTTTGTTATTGTTGTTTTTTTTTTAAATAAAAATCATTAAGAATAATATTTAATTATAGTTGTTGTAATATTTAGCTAAATATAATTAATATAAATATAAATAGATTAAACAACAAATCAACATTCTTTTTCAAAAAAGTAATATTTGTTCCCTTTTAATTTTTTGTACTCATCATACAAAAGTCTTTTAAAAGTGTTTTAAGTTTTTTCAAGGCCATTAATTTGTTTGACAAAGGGAGTTCAAAATTTTTTTTTGCTTGTCAAGTTTAGAGCTTATTTGTGCTCGTCAAGTTGGTGGTTCAAATGCTCGTCAAGTTTGTGCATTAATTTTTGATCAATTATTCATGTTGTTCAAGTTTATACTGTTGCATAATAGTGTAGAGCAATTTGAAAGATTTTTGAAATTAGGCTTGTCTGCATTTCAAATTTTTTTCTTTTATTAAAAAAGTAATCTTCCTTTTTTTAAATGAGTTCTTGAAGTTACTCAAAGAATAAAATCCTCAATTTGAATATATTAGTTTTTGTCATTTTTGTCATTTTTTTTTATTAAAAAAAAAAAAAAAAGATAAAAATGTACATAATATTGTTGCTTTTTTGCAAATTATCTAAAAAAACAGGTTTTTAATGGAAAATTTTTTTTTAATAGTTTTGGTTTTGTACGAAAAAAAACTTCAAAATCAGCAAATAGTTCTGCATCTTTTGAGTGCCTGACATAGCAGCATTTTTACATTTTTTTTTAATCAAAAGTTTTTCATAAAAAATAAAATTAATGTATTCACTAATATTAGGACCCATCAATATTTTTGTGTCCAAGAGAAGTCTAAAAAACTCATTTAAATCAAAGTATTTATTTTTCTATTATAACTAATAGAACATCATTTGCGTCTTAAGAATGTTTATTTTTGAATTTTTTTTTTTTTACTATGAAAATTGCTTCACCCTATTGTATAAACCTCTTTTACATTTTCCAATGTAAAAGTTATCTGCATCATTTTGCATCAAGTCTCATAGACTTAATTTTTAAAAGCAAGAAAATTTTATGTTTTTTTTCTTAAAAACCTTTTTTTTTTATAGATTACAAAAAATAATATAATATTTTGTCACCAGTGTTCAATCTCGAGAATTTCTCGAGAAAAAAGTCATTTTTATTTCTCAAATCTATAGAAATTGAATAAAATTTATCTTGGAAATGTCCACAAATACATTCACGTATTAGAAAATTCTATGTCTCATCAAAATAAACAGGATAAAGTTGAAAATCTAACTAATGAAACTATTTTAAAATTTGTAAAACGACCAACCCTGGCTGAATTGATTTCTAAATTGGCTGCTGAGGACGGTATATCGTTCAATAAAATTACTAAAAGTGAATTTATACAGCAAAGTATGACCGCCAGGGGATTTAGATTACCTCAAAATCCTTCTGAGGTGAGACAATGGTGGAATTTTACCATAGCAAGAAAGAAGAGATAGTACAGATTATAAAGGAACTAAAGGACGAAGAAAGAAAGTTCAGCGTATCTATTGACGAATGGACAAGCGTTAAAAATGGTAGATTCATGGGTGTTCATTTATACAGAAATAATGAAAATAATTCATTTAACCTTGGTTTGATTTTTATTGAAGGAAGTTGTACATCAGAAATAACTTTGTAAATACTGTCACAAAAATTAAAAGAGTTGGTCTATCTTTACAAGAAGATATTGTGGCTGTTATGAGCGATGGTGCTGCAGTTATGAAGAAATTTGGTAGATTATTGGCTGCCTTGCAGCAATTATGCTACAATCATGGCATGCATCTAGCAGTTTTGAAAAGCTTTTATGCTGAACTGAAAAATGAAATAAATAAACCTGTAGACAAGCATGAAACTGTAGATAGCGACGATGATGCTAGCATTGGAAGTACAGAAGAAGATGACTTAAATCCCAATTTAAAGATGCAGTTGTAGGATTACGAAAAATTGTAAAACTCTTTGAAAATTCTCCAGTGAAATTTCTCCAGAAAAATGATGTTCTATAAAAAAAATGTAAAAGACCAAAACAAAAAGAATTGGCTTTGCTACTAGACTGTAAAACACGCTGGAATACTATTGAAATAATGGTGAAATATGAACATAAATGATATTAAAATTTGAAAAAAATTACTATTTTGGCATTTCTCAAAATTTTTCGAGAAATCTTGAGAAGCTCATTTTCAATTTCTCATGTCTCAAGAATTAAAAAACATTGAGAAATCTTAAACACTAACCAGTTAATTAGGTAAGGGTAGTATAGCAAACTCCAAACATATTTGTATATTTGTTGTATGAATTCTTTTCCAAGTGCTTGATGATTCTTGCCATATATTCATTACATGCATTTATGGCAAATTTTATTATAGCATTGTTAGCTACCACCTTAGTCCAAGCTGATGAGTTTGATGTGTATATTTGTGAACCATTTTTGTTTTGTTTAATGTTTTTAAACTTGTTTTAATGTGTTTATATTATCAAAAATTTGGCTGTTGTTGTAAATACAGTTGTTGTATCTTTTAGTTGCCCTGATCTTTGATTAGCCATTTTTCAACCAGTTCATTAGCATTGGGCTGCATTCGAGTTCTTTTTCTTTTTCTTTTGTCAGTATTAAAATAAATATTTTTTTGTAAAATGGTAAGTGGGACAGCACTTTTAATACCAGTGGATTACTTCTGCCATTAACTAAAACCGTGAGCTAAAAGGGGTATCAATCTGGATAACAGTGAATTAGCTTTTATTAATCTTTTAGCACAAATACTAAATAAGTCAAAATGTGGCCATATTTTTGTAAACTATAAAAAAAAATGTTTTATACTTTAAAAGACAAAAGTTTATATAAAAAAGCATTATAAAAGTTTTTATAACTAAAAAAAGTTTAAGCAGTTTCGTTGTAAAAACTTTTTTAACAATTTTTTGGTTTTATGTTTTATATAATCATTTTATATGAAACAACTATATTTTATTATCATATATGCAACTAATATTCTTTTGTTATTAACTTCTATGTGAAAAATGTTTTTTATCGTCAAGGTCATGTTTATACTTACCGTCAACAACCAAGACAGCATCGAAACACTCATCAACAACAGGTTTTTTTTTAAATTTCTAGTTTACACTGAAATCTTAGTTTTTCTCTCTTAATATGATAATAACAATTAATAATAACAAAATTGTTTATATATATCAATTACTACATATATAATTATATGACATTTTATATAGAAAATTGAGTGTATAATGTACAACAGGCTCTATGATTATCTGACAAAAAACAACATGTTGTATAAAAACAGTTTGGGTTAAATAAAAAGCATTCAACCGAACACGCAGTTGTCATGATTATAAACGAGATATCGAACGCTCTATACAACAGTTATTTTACATAAATTTTCATTGATCTGTTTAAAGCCTTTGATACAACATTTTTGAAAATAATCTGCTCTCACCCCCTAAATGTGTTCTATCTAATACAAAAACACTAGGTTTGAATTTTTTAGGAATAAAAAATAATATTCATTTCGAAATATTTTTAACTTATTCATCAAAATTATCATAAAAAAACATTAGAAATGCATTTTTATTATTTTTTTCTTAAAAAACGCAATTTTTTTATGTAATAAAACCAAAAATAACAATTTTGTTTCGAAATGAATATTATTTTTAAAATTTTTATATAATTTCGCTTCATTTGAGTACCAGATTGACATACTTTTGAAAAACTTTTTTTTCGAAAATATTAGGGACCCATTAAATATTCGAGGGTCTATTCGAGGGTCCTTAAAATATTTTTTATTCAAAAAAAATTTAAACCTAGTGTTTTTGCATTAGATAGAACACATTTAGGGGGTGAGAGCAGATTATTTTCAAAAAAGTTGTTTTTTGGGACACCCTAATATATATATATATATATATATATATATATATATATATATATATATATATATATATATATATATATATATATATATATATATATATATATATATATATATATATATGTATATATATATATATATATATATATATATATATATATATATATATATATATATATATATATATATATATATATATTAATTACTACTTATATAATTATATATATATTAATTACTACATATATAATCAATAAAGATTCAATGTTGAAATAAGGTGTAGTTTTCTACTCTTTGTTGATTCATGTTTTAATTTGAAAAGGCTTATTATTAACATTATTATTTTTGGTATTATTAACATTATAAACATTGTATTAAAGTATATTAGAAATATTTAAGACCTGTGCAACATAATATAATATATGACTATTTAATAAAGAAAATTTAAACTAAGTAAAAACTCAGGAAGGCATACAACTTTTATTTTTAGGATAGTTGTGATTTTAGGAGGGTAGAGGGGTATCGCTGTAATAACAGTAATTAAACAATATTTTAAAATGTTATTTACAAAATTGTATTAAACATTGAACCAGCTGTTTCTTCATGAAACAACCTTTCAAGATGAGCATAGATTCTTGTGAACCAGTTCAAACTCTTAATATATTTTTTTATAACGATACCCAGCCCTATGATTTTATAGGAAAAATTTACAGTAAATTTTTTATCAATGTATGACACTATATTGTTTTAATCCATATAATATATACATATTAATAAATGAATATTAAATTAATACAAACATAATAATGTATGAAAATAGTTTTTATTAGAATGTATTATCAATGTAAATGATTATTTTTAATAGAATATATCATCTGTGTATCCATAAGTTCAATTGTACATGATTATTTTTATGTTCAAATGTATATAATTATTTTAATAGAATGTATCATCTGTGTATCCATTAGTTCAATTGCTACCAATCCTTCTGATTGTTTTGTTTTCACTTCTTTCACCATACCTGATACCTGAACCTATATACAGTTTTCAACAGACATCGTAAGTATATGGTGTTTTAATATCACATTTTTATTTAATTTACTTAATTTAATATTTATGTTTGTAATAATTGAAACAATTTATAAATTAATTATAACTTTTTAAATTTTTTATGAAAAATATAATAAGTTATTTAAAATATTAGTTTTATAAAACTATAAAAAAAAATTAAAACAACAACATTAACACGTAGGAGTGTATTAATGTGTTAATTGGAGTACCACAGGGTTCAGTACTTGGCCCACTTCTTTTCGACTCTTGAAAAAGATTTTATATATTTTTAAAAGTATTTTTATATTTAAAATTTAATTTTTAAATTTAAAATTTATTTTTCTATTTAATAATTTTATTTAAAAGTATTTATATATCCAAGTATTTGAAATGGGAAAGACAAGTAAGGAATGCTGCCAGTAAAGCACACATTTAGCAATATGCTTAGCAATATTCTTGGATATGCAAGCAATATGCTTACAATATTAAATAATACTTTTAGGTATAAAGATAAATACCTCATGAAAATGCTTTATTGCACATATGTTAGACCTCATTTAGAGTTTGCAATTAAAGCTTGGATTCCCTATTATAAAAAAGATATCAAAAAACTTGATAAAGTTCAAAGAAGAGCAACTAAAATGATACGAGAATTGAGACATCTGGGATATAATCAAAGACTAAAAATATTAGATTTAGCAACTTTCTCTTAGTCTTCGAACTTTTAGCAAGTTCGAAGACTAAGAGGTGACCTTATACAACAATATAAGTTGTATAAAGGTTTTAAATCTATTGATATAAAGAAAGTCTACATACAAATGCATTTATTCAATACACCAGGTCCACCATCCAATATTAGAGGTTATACACCAGGTCCACCATCCAATATAAGAGGTTATAAACATCGTGTTAAATCAGAGTTTGTTAAAAATTGTTCAAGTAAACAACACTTTTTTACAAACAGGGTTGTCTTAAGATGAGATAATTTACCAGAATCGGTAGTGGAGTCTACATCAGTCAAAGAGTTTAAATCCAGACTTAAACTGATTGACTTACAGATAATATTGAACAAAATTAAGAAAAATAGGTTGCAGTTAAATTTTTAGACAACTATTGTGTTGGTTATCATAGATAATTTCTGGTGCTCATGCCCTGACATCTTGTTTCTCCATTGACAAAAAGTATTTCAATGAAAATTTTATTTAGTTTTATTATACGTAGTTCTTTTTTAATTAAATATTTTATTTAGCATTTTTAGATTTACAACCTTAAACTTTTCATAATTTATTGTAAATACTTTAATTTATTTTAGATACTTTTACATCCTTTTATATTATAAACATTTATCAGGGGCTATTCTAGACCGTTTTCAACAGCATTGATCATATTTGGTCAATGAAATGATTAATTTTCATGAAATCATTTTCATGAAAACCTAGGTTGTAATACCAGCTATGTTTTATAATATTCAAAAATGAAAAATAAAGCAAATGTACAGAGATGCGAAGTTCTATGGATTTTCATGGACTTGTTGTTTTAAAAATAACTTTTTTACTTTTATTTATTTAAAAAAAAAAAAAAATGATTAATCTGATGAAACTAGTGTATGACTTAAGTAGATTATTTTATAATAAGTTGGTAGAGAAAGTTCATAAGGAATTGAAAGTTCATCCGCCTTAGTCAAAGTCTAACTAATCCATTGTATGACATTTTACTGTAGTTACATTAGAAACTAAATATGAAACAATAGTAACAGTGTTAAGTTATAATTCAGCCATTTATTTAGTATTTTTATCTATTTCTTTTATTTTATAGTTTTGTTTATATAATTTATTTTATTTTATGCTTCTTTATTATTTCTATTTTATAGGCAATACAGATTTCCATTCAAAACAATTAGACATAAAATTCCATTTTATGTCAAGGTAACATTTTAAAAACATGATTTTTTTTTGTTGTTGTCAAATTTATGTGTCTGCATGGGTACATGTTGTGTGGTGTATTTGCTCAATTTGCTTAACAATAGTCAACAAAATAATCTAATAAAGTTTACATAACAAAAATCAAGCAACTTTTAATTAAAAGTGTATTAAGTCCTAATTTTTAATTTATTTATGTAAAATTTCAGTCTGATTAGCTCAGACGGTTGTCTTTCGTAAAATAAAATACAATAAAAAATTCAATGCACATCGAGAAAAAAAAACTGAAATGAAGGAATGAAAGTTTTTAGATATAATAGTAATAACTTTGATTTTAAAATCCATTAAAAATCTGCAATTACAAATAAAGGTTTCATACAAGGCCTTCTTTATTAGAAGGCCTCGACACCATGCGGCAAATTTTTTGACCTGTTTAAAGTTGTAAAAGCTGTAGCTGCTTTCAAAGAAATTTAAAATAAATAATTTATGATGCCTTTAAAATGCTGCGTACCAAATTGTTACTCAAATTATAAGTCTTCAGATTGTAAAATATCTGTATACAAATTTCCTCGTGAAATATCTGAAAAAAACAAATGGTTTATGAGTATTCCTCGTTCACACTGGACTTTAACAAAATATAGTGTTGTTTGTAAATTGCATTGGCCAGAAGATGCCGAGTTTACTTTATATTGTGGTAAATTAAGACCAATTAATTTTCCATCAGTGTTTCCAAATATATCTAAAAGTTGTCTATCCTCTCCACCACCAAAAATGAGAAAAACTTTATCTTCTTCTTCAAAAAGAGGTATAGGAAAAAATGAATTAGAAGATTATAGGGTAAAAATATATGAAATCATCCAAAAAAAAATAATTTTCGACACCCTTACGTCTCAGAATTTGTTTATTTTTACACCACTTGCAGTCCATATCAAAATAATAATAACTGCGAAAATTTTAGTTAAAAATGCCAATGGGTTCCATAGATATTGTCACTTGAAATAATGCTCAGCATTTTAGTGATTTTCTGAAGCGACTACAAAGCAACTTTGACATACAGTATCTTCATAATGGCTTGGGGAAATTTCCTAAAATTTGGTACTCTAATAGATTTTAACTTGAGGAATCCAAAAATAGCACTCTTAAGACTCTATTATCTCAAGAAATGCCTCATTTATCCAATTTTGTTCAAAATTATTGACTTGTAAATTAGTGATTTTTGGAGGTAAAATAAAGACTGTGGCCCAAAATCCCGAGTAAAAATTTTAATTGTATATCATTATTTCATCTTAGGTCTACTGAAAAAAACTAGATTCATCAATTGTCTTTCTAATACGTTATCAAAATTTGCATTTAAAAATGGTGTCTTTTTAGAAAAATTTAATTTTTGTAACAAAAGCAATTAAAATATTTTTTTAAACATTTATTTGAATAAAACACCAAATAGTGTTATTTATTGACTAGTTTAAATTTAAATAAACATTTAAAGTCATGGGCCAAGGGAGATGCCCTCCCTACCCATGGGAGGCCCCTCTGCCCCCTCCCCAAATCTCCCTAGATTTTTTTTTTTTTTACATAAAATGAATAAATAATAGTTGATTGTTAAAATACATTTTAAAAACATATTTTTTCAGTTTAAGTTTGAGAAACGATTTATTTGCGTTACTTCAAATCGATAAATACTTACCTCTTATTTCAAAGATCTTTTTACGATTATAAGTCATAAATTTCAAAAACAAATGTTTTAAAATGTTTTTAAAACATATTGACAATAAATATCTTTATGTAGTTTTTGACTATTATAGTCATTGACATAATAAGATGGGAGTGATTTGTGATTTATTTAAACCCCCACCCCTACAATCCAAGGATTTGAAACAAATAAAAGACATTTAAAATGCAAATTAGGTAAATAAAATAAAAACAAAATTATTTTAAGCATAATTAATTTTTTTTTGTAACCAACAGTTTATATTCTCCAAATCTAAATCAGTTATGTTGTATGTACGACCTGATATTGTTGTGGGTGTAGAAATTAGGCATATAACTTCAGAATTGAGCACCCAACACTCATCAGTTCTTATTGGCCAAAAGAAGTTTTTACCTGGTCCATGTGGATGCATGAATCTGACTTTTATATCAAGCTCACTTACATCTTCAGCAATCCCTACCCACCAAAATCCATCATAAAAACATGCAATATAATCCATTTTTTTAATATTTAATGAAATATCTACATAATGTTTGCTTTTTGGAATGATATCAAATATTTCAGTGCATGCATCAATACTTATTTTTTGATAACTTATAGTGTTTGGAGCAATTGGAATAAAATGATGATACATCCTTGTGCTAGGAACTGTTCTTCCACCTAAATATCTTTTTTCTAATTGTGCTCGTGTTTGATCAATTTCTTCTTTTGAAAATAACTTAAAATAAATTCCATTTATCTTGGCTTTACGAAAGGAGTACATTAAATTAACATCTAAAATCTGCCCAGTAGTTATTTGTTTTAGACTTTCTTGACATACTACTCTTTTAACAGTCCCACCAATACCATCACAGGGGGATTTACCATGACTGGTAGCAAAAAATACCCATTCAGCATTTAAATCAAAGTCTTTACTGTGATGACAAAGATTGATAAAATTTTTAAATTGTGCTGCACAACCATCAGAAAAGTATTTCACACTTGATACATCTGTTAGATTTTCTTTGATATATCTAGTTATATCTTCCTGAGTCTTGTAAATAAATCCTGTGTCATGATCAACATCTTCTGAAAGGTAACAAAAAGATTTATGTTTGAGAAGTTTGTTCTCTATAAAATAAAGTACAACTGTATAAAGTGAGCATTGACTTTTGCTCCAGTGATTACTTTGAACCTCATCCTGAACAACATATTGATAGTTTTCAGCAAAATCTCCTAAAATTAAGCATTCGTTTTGGTTAAGATTTTCTTTACAGTTTTTTAAGTACCTACTTTGTGTTTTTGCAATATATGAATGAGTGGTAAGGTTGTCAATACTGTCACATAATAAATCAATAAATTCATCTAGTGGCAATGACTGTGAAAGTAGTGTTGTACGATCTGTACTCTGCCATTGCTTAAATACTACATCTTCTTCATGCTCATGGTCCATAAACTCCTGCACCTAAAAACTTTTTAACGCTTCAATACCAGGACATTGGTTACATCGATGCAACATACATTCTGCATTTTCAAGAGAGCAAACAATCAATGCCATGAAATCTTTATAACTTTTATTCCACCTAATGGCATCAATGAGAAATTTTGTATTTTGGTGATGTATGCAAACACATACATTGTGGGTACCTGACGCATTAGTTGTAATACACCATTTAGGTTTAAGAGTACAAAACTTTGACAAACTGACTTTGACGTTAGGGTAGTCTTTTTTAAATGCAACATGTAATTCATTAAGATTGAGTAGCAATAATCTTTTTTGAACATGTTGGTTTTTCTTAATACTTACATAATCTTTTTTTCCTGGCATCATTCTTGAAAATTCATCACTTTGATAAAAGTTAATCACTAAATTAACTGTTTCTGGTGAAAGTGGGTTTCCAGTTTTTTTCCCGGTTAATGATAGAATTCCATTCTCATTTTTAACTTTTCTTGCTGTTCGAACAAGATACTCAGACACTTCAAAGTAGCTTGATATCTTTTTACGTGTCCATGATTTTGGTGCGAGTGTTAACATTTGCACCTTATGGCGATAAGAGTCAGTCTCTGAAATTTTATTTTTTATTTCATACATTAAAATGTCTAGATCATGGTCATTGTTAATGTTGTTGTTTAAAATCGGGCTTTTTATTTCTGTTGTTAAAAAAGTTTCTTTAATATTATATGCTAATGAGACCATTTTTGCAACTCTGTCAATAGTGTTCTCAAACTTTTGTTTTGCTACAGGCAATTTGCTGTGTTTTGAAAGACTTTTTAGTTTGACCGGTGAGATTCCAAGCAATTCTATAGTGGTATCTAACTTAATTTTTTCCTGACTTTTTGATTCCCATTCCTCCTGTGAATTTAAATCTTCATCAGTTTCTATTGCTTTTATATAACATTTAATGAAGAATTTCCAACCTGGGGTTACATAAACATTATTTTTTTGCAAATTGTTTGCCATGTCTATGGAAATCTTTATATTACCTAAAAAACAAATTTAGTTTTACGTTGTTAAAATAACTGAAACTATAAAATTTTTTAAAAATAATAAATTGTTTTCTTTTAATTTCCATATCAATTCTGTTATAAATAAGGTAAGATTACCTTTTATAGCAATTTTTTTACTTTCCTTGTGTGTTTCAAAAGGATTGCAACACTTTGTAATTTTTTCTCAAAATATTTTCCATAGAATCGCTCATGATAACAACATATAATTCTTATTGAACTATATTTTTCCTTTAAATTTGCTCGCCATATTATTTCTTCTTGTTTTTCACAAGGAAGATCTTTTAATTGAACAAAACCTTGTTTTCTTGAAAATCCAGTTTTGTGGCAATGAATGTTAAGACTTTTTCCAATGTCACATTTCTCCATATTAACTATTTTTATTATTTATTACCTAACAAAATAATATAAAAACTATAAAATTAAAAGTAATTCTTTAAGAAAATACAAACAAGTAAATACCTTTAAAAAGAACAAAACAAAACTTATGTTTGTTTTTTATATAAAAGGAGGTTTTGAAAAGTCACCAATTTGAAATAATGAAATTTTTTTTTTCAAAATTAAAATTAAATTGTATGTTTTTGCATTATTTATTCATTTTATGCAAAAAAAAAAAAAAAAAAAAAAAATCTAGGGAGATTGGGGGAGGGGGCGTAGGGGCCTCCCGTGGGAGTGGAGGGTATCTCCTTTGGCCCATGACTATAAATGTCCTAAACTATTCAATAAATGACACTATTTGATGTTTTAATAAATATGTTTAAATAAATGTTTTAAAAAATATTTTAATTACTTTTGTTACAAAAATTAAATTTTTCTAAAAAGGCACCATTTTTAAATGCAAATTTTGATCACGTATTAGAGAGACAATTGATGAATCTAATTTTTTTTCAGTAGACCTAAGATGAAATAATAATATACAATTAAAATTTTTACTCGGGATTTTGGGCCACAGTCTTTATTTTACCTCCAAAAATCACTAATTTACAAGTCAATAATTTTGAACAAAATTGGATAAATGAGGCATTTCTTGAAATAATCGAGTCTTAAGAGTGCTATTTTTGGATTCCTCAAGTTAAAATCTATTAGAGTACCAAATTTTAGGAAATTTCCCCAAGCCATTATGAAGATACTATATGTCAAAATTGCTTTGTAGTCGCTTCAGAAAATCACTAAAATGCTGAGCATTATTTCAAGTGACAATATCTATGGAACCCATTGGCATTTTTAACTAAAATTTTCGCAGTTATTATTATTTTGATATGGACTGCAAGTGGTGTAAAAATAAACAAATTCTGAGACGTAAGGGTGTCATGGTCTGGATGATTTCATATATTTTTACCCTATAGAATAATTGATAATTTAAAGTTTAAAGATATTGAAAAATACTTATCTACTGAAAATGATATAGTTACTTACAAGCAAAACAATTCTATTCAGTCTAAAGTTTTTAGTTGTGGGGTTCCACTCTTTTTGCTGATAATTAATCAAAGTTTAATGTTTGAAGCATTTCATTATGGTTCAAAATGTACTGTTAAACCTCTTCCAAAAAATAGAATAACTTCATTTAATACAAAGTCAGCTTTAAATGAAGCTCTTAGATATCTAAAAGTTAAAGATGAGGATCATAAAACGCAAGTATTATTTCAGCATCTAAATGTAATGGGAGATCATTCTGTTGGGTTAACTGTATATTCACCTGATATAATAACCAGGGCTTTTGAATATTTTGCAACAAGTCGTTCCACTTACAATCAATTGTATTGTGATTATCAGTTGCCAAGTATTCGAACTTTAACTCGTATAACTTCAAAAATAAATTCTCAAGACGATTTGGTTTTTTTAAGTTCTGTGCTATTAAACCTTGAGGAAAAAAAAAGAAATTGTGTTTTATTGATAGATGAAGTTTATGTCAAAGCTGCTTTATTATATCAAAGTGGAAATATTTTTGGAAAAGCTGTTAATAATCCAGAGAAATTAGCTACTACTGTACTTTCATTTATGATCAAAAGTCTTTATGGTGGTCCTGAATTTTTAGCAAGAGTTTTACCAGTTACTAATCTAACATCAGATTTCCAACTAGATCAATGCAAGTTAATTGTAGACACCATAGAAAGTTCTATATGTAATGGCAAAGTAGTTGCAATTATTACTGATGGTAATAAAGTTAACCAAAGCTTTTTTTCTAAATTCAAAACAGTAGATGGAAAACCTTGGTTATGTCAAAATGGAACTTATATTTTATATGACTATGTCCATCTTTTAAAGTGCATTAGAAATAATTGGCTGACAGAAAAGTTAGGTCAGTTGCAGTTTATTTATAATGAAATATCTTAGATTGCCATTTGGAGAGATTTAGTTAACTTATATACACTTGAAAAAAACCAATTATTAAAGTCATCAAAGTTGACTGAAACATCAATAAATCCTAAACCAATAGAACGACAAAAAGTAAGTACTTGTTTGCAAGTATTCAGTGAAGAGGCAGTTGCAGCTCTAAAAACTCATCCTAAAATAGACCAAGAAAGTGTCAAGGGTACTATTATTTTTTTGGAGTTGATTATAGATTTTTTGAAAATAGTGAATATTAAATGTCCTGGTGCTAATCTTAGATTCAGGGATGAGTCCCGTAATGTAATTAGATCTTCAGATGATGTTAACTTGAAAAAATTGTTTGCTATTGCAACAATGGCAGAAAATATGAAACCAACATCTGGTAAACGAGTTCGCCAGCTTACAAAAGATACAAGCAATGCACTTTCACATACCTGTCGTGGCCTAATTGATTTATCTTGCTCTCTTTTATCAACTGGAATTGAATATGTAATTTTAGGTTGGTTTTCTTCGGATCCGATTGAAAAATGCTTTGGAAAATTACGTCAAGGATCAGGTGGTACTTATTTTATAACCACTAAATCAGTTATTGAAAAAGTACGTTTCAGCATGCTAAGCTGGTGCTGCAGCTAAATATTGATGTAGAAGGAAATGATGGCCATGACTGTCTTTTATGTCTTGTAGATTTAGATTATAGGGAAATCCATAATGTTTACAATTTAGCAGATCTAGAAGATAGCATAAATATAGAAATTTTATATTCTAATTTTATATTATATTTTATATGTAATTGTATCATCTCCTAAAAAGGAGATGATACAATTACACATTATGAAAAATACGGAAATTATTTAAATAATTTAAATAGGGGAGGACTAACTATTCCATCTGACACTTTAACTCAATGGTCCTTATTTTGCTATATATTTTTTTCTTTATTAGATAAAAGAGTTTGCAGAACATTTTTGATTCGACAGTTTATATTTATTGCAGAATTCTACGAATTTTCTATTTCAAAGAAACAATGCCAAAACTGGCAAACATTTTTTTAAAGAACTTTGCATTACTTCACACTCCTAAAAATAATAAAGAAACTAAACTCAAAGAAATTAAGTTTATGTAAACGTTTTTTTTTTCCTATTTAGTACGAAATTTTTATTTTTATATTACTTATTATATCTTTTAAATTGAAAATCTCAATTGAAAATATTTTTATTTAACTTTACTTTTAAAAGTTATTAATTAATAAATTATTTTTGCAATAAGAAGTTAAGATTTTTTTCAAACAGATTGTGAACTATTTGTATGTGTTAAATTTTAGCAAAGCTATATAACTTTTGCCGGTTTTTTTTTTTGCCTTTTTTTTTTTTTTTATCGGCCTTCAGTCAAAAAATTTCCCGTACGGTGTCGAGGCCTTCTAATAAAGAAGGCCTTGGTTTCATATCAAGAGCATCAAAAATTTGTTCCCCAAAATACCTTGAAGATGAGATACAATAATGTTTGTTGAAAATACCTTAAAGATGAGATGTTTTCAAAATGTTTGTTGAAAATGGCAGTAACAAATCAGAGTTAGAGCTTATGAAAAAAAATCTCAAAATCCAAAACAAACCTGTTGATTTAGTTGCAGATAAAACAGAAAATGGTTACATAACAATAAAACTCCAATTGATTTCTATACTAGGATCAAAGTTAAGAAAAGAGCTCAGGAGATACTGGGTAAAGTTAATTTTATATTAAATATATTTTAAATTAAAGTTATTTTACAATATCGTCAACTTTAAAAACAGTTTTTATGTAATTACCAATTCAAATTATTACCAAATAGAAATCTGGGTGTGTATAAGCTTATTTCATGGGTGGCGTTTATATTGGAGGAGCAAAAAAGAAAATTATACAAAAAAGTATTGAGCATCAGGTAAACAGCATGAAAGGCAATAGGCAAGCTTCCAGAGCCACAGAGTACTGCAAGGATTGCCAGTTTATTTAATTATATGTACGCCAAAACAATCACACTTAATTCTAACTTCCAAGAAAGGAAAATAAGAGAATCCCTAGAGATTAATTATGTCTAAACAAGTAATGAGATAAAGCATTTCCTACCGCTTTTTAACAAAGACAACAATGATAAAATTGTGTAAAATAGTTGGAGATCTTTTTTCAAAAAAATCATTGAAATCTCAAAATAGTTTTTACCTTACATCAGTTCATCTTTATAATGTCTTCTTAACGGTTCTTTACATACATTTTTGTGTTATTTTTATTGTATTTTATTTTACATCTGACAAAGGTCTGAGCTAATCAAACTGAAATATCATGTAAATTAAAAATTATTACTTAACTGTATTTTAAGTTTTATATATTAGATAAATTATCAAGTACGAGCTTAAATTAGCTTGTTTTTATCGCAATTATTTTTTCGGTTTTTCTACCTAATCAATTTTTTTATTAAAATTAAATCTTAAAAATTAAAAGTAAAAGTGTTTAGATACTGCATCAAAAATTTGCACAAAATGGAAGTTAAACTTTTTTTTTATAACGCAAGTTAAAGCGCAGCAATTTTTTTAATAAATCATATATACAGCGATATAATTTTAATAAATAGTGTTTAAAAAAATAATTTTTGCTTTCAAAAAAAAATCGCTAATAAAATAATAAACCTTTAATAAATAAAGTAAATAAAGTAATTTTTTTATTTGTTACTTGCTAATTTTTTCGAAATAAAAAATCATTATTAGTTGCAAAGCCGCAATTAGAAATTTAAGAAATAATCATTTAAAAAATTTAATATATTTTAATTCATTTATACAAATGCTGAGAAAAGAAAGAAATTTGTTTATATCAAACATTTTTAAAAATGTAATATTAAATTTAATTTTTTAATATATATATGAAAAAAAGAAATTAAATGAAAATAAACATTACCTAATAGTAATAACAAAAAAACGAGTTAAATAATATTTAACTCGTTTTGTATATATAAATATATATATATATATATATATATATATATATATATATATATATATATATATATATATATATATATATATATATATATATATATATATATATATATATATATATATATATATATATATATATATATATGTATATGTATATATATATGTATATATATGTGTATATATATATACACACACATATATATATACAGTGGTTTTCATAAATTTAGACGCACTCATATTTGAGAACAGAAAATTTTAGGTATTTTAACGATAAAACAATGACGAAAAAAGATTTCGGTTTAGTTTTTTTTTCTATTTATCAGATAAATACATACAGAATACAAAATTTAAAAAAAGTTTACAAAAAAAATGAAATACTAAGTAATAATTAGGTACAACTACATAGTATTAAAAAAATTAGACAAAAAAATTATTCATAAATTTAGACGCACGATACATTAGAAGGCGTAATTTATGAACCAATCAATATTTTGTGTATCCGCCTTTTGCTTTAATACAACTAAGAACTCTTCTAGGCATAGACTCAACAAGATTTTTGCACATCGCTTCTGGGACCCCATACCAGGTCTCCTTAAGGAATTCCTTCAGCTGACCAAGTGTGGAAATTTGAACCTTTGCTAATTCACGATCAATCCAAGCCCAAATGTTTTCAATCGGGTTCAAATCAGGTGAATATGGAGGCCACGGTATTGTCATAATATTATTATCGTTGAACCACTCCTTTGTATAGTATGCAGTATGTGCAGTAGCGCTATCTTGTTGAAGTTTCCATGGTTTATCATTGAGCATAAGCAGGTCAATTGATGGAATTAGGTTGTTTTCCAGTACTTCTACGTATATTCTGGAGTTGATTCTTCCGGTGTATGTTTGGCACATACCAACACCTTTGTAATTGAAGCATGACCAGATTCCTATCGAGCCTCCTCCACTTTGTACAGTTGGTCTAATGTACCTGGCGTAATACTTTTCGTGAGCCATTCTTTTGACTGTTATGTTAGATTTGCGATTGATAAGCTCAAAGTTACTCTCATCACTCCACATAATGTTTTCCCATTGATCTATTGTCCAATACCTTCTTTCACGACACCATTTTAGTCTCCTTTGTTTATTATATGGATGCAGAAGCGGTTTCTTCAAAGCAGTGTAGACTCCAATCTTGTATTTGATAAGTATTCGGCGGACTGTGCTTTGAGAAATAGATGTATTTCGCGTTGTATTGAATTCTGTGGTCAATTCTTTGTAACTAATTCTTGGATTAGCTCTGACAGCTCTAAAAAGAACACTATCGTCCTTTCTCGTGGTTGACAAGGGTCTACCTGGCTTCGTTTTCTCGCTGGCACCACCAGTGTGAAGAAAGTTTTGTTTCGTTGTCCGAACGCATTTCTCAGAAACTCCAATTAACTTGGCGATTTCTCTATTACTTTTGGTTCCTTCTTTGATGTGCGCAATAATTTGCCATCTTTCACCTTGAGTGATACGTCTTTTGCCCATTTTTTACGTTTTTTAGTGCAAAACTAACTTAACTTTTGTTTATTTATTAAATAATGATTAAATAATTCCAGGTAAGTCATATTTATATAAGGTTTTTTGACAAAATCAATTAATTTAGGCTTATTAATGAGAAATATAAGAAAAAAACTACTAATTAACTATCAATTAACAAGATATAGGACTTTTTTAATTGTGCGTCTAAATTTATGAACAAAATAAAATCAAGTTTATCAATTAACTTTTTTGTGTTAATCGGTATAAAATGAGTAATAAACATCCTGTAAAAAAAATTAAGGTACTCTATAATAGAGTTTCATTTCCTCTTTTAAACTATATATCAAACATAGCGGTAGCACTTTTATTTCATTTTTATTTTGAGTATTTTCTTACATATATGAAAAAAAGAATGAATGCGTCTAAATTAATGAAAGCTACTGTATATACATACATATATATATATATATATATATATATATATATATATATATATATATATATATATATATGTATATATATATATATATATATATATATATATATATATATATATATGTGTATATATATATATATATATATATGTGTATATATATATATATATATGTATATATATATATATATATATATATATATATATATATATATATATATATATATATATATATATATATGTGTATATATATATATATATATATGTGTATATATATATATATGTGTATATATATATATATATATATATATATATATATATATATATATATATATATATATATATATATATAGTACTGGACAAAAGCCTGAGACCAAGGGTTGAAAAAGACTAAAAACTGATTTTAACCATAAAATTTTATTCAATGAACAACCATGTCAATTTTTTCCAATATAATTCATATTAGTAATTCAACATAATTCAGAACACAACAATTTATTGTTAGCATCACTGATGATATGAGTAAAACTGATGAGTAATACAATTGCCATATATGTAGTATGTTGCACGCATAACTTCTTTGAACTTTATATGAACCATGCACTATATTATTCGGTTTTGCGTTAATATTTGCGTTAGTTTATTACTGCGTGATGGCAAGTTATAGATTACATAATAGTTTATAGCAGATAATAAACCTGAAAGTGTCTTAGGATTGACACATATTAGCACTGTTGTGGTATTATGTTGTTGTATACATGCATTACATACATACATACTGTATTGCATATTTATATAGTTATTGTTTAATGAATCTGGCATTTGCTGTTTGTGCTTCAAATTTTCATTTTTGATTTTAGCATTAATTTTCTTTCACTGAAATGTGTGAGTTACAAATATCAGTTCTAGCACAGATCAGTATTTTAAAAGAGGAGGGATACACCGAGAGAAGCATTGCTGAACGTTTATCTGTTTCTAAAACTGCAGTTCATAACACAATAACTCGATTGCAGCAGACTGGCAGCTTAACTTCCCGAAAAAGATCTGGTAGACCAAAATGTACCTCTATGCAGACTGACCGCTTGATTCATCGCACTTGTATTAATTCTCCAATGTCATCATCCACAGTAATACAACACAAATTGCCATCCTCTGTTACTGTTTCCTCCAGAACTATCAGACGAAGACTATCCTCTGATTTCAACCTGCATGCCCGGCGTCCTTCCATTAAACCTAGGCTTTCTGCCAAGAACATCAAGGATCGGATTGCCTTTTATCAAAAGCACAAAGACTGGACAGCGTTGGATTGGGTGTGAGTAATGTTTTCAGATAAAAGTCAAATAAAGCAGTTTGCTCCTTTTCATTCTTTTGTTTATAGACCTGTTAATCAGCGACTGAATCCCAAGTACACCAAATGCAATGTTAAACAGTGCCAATCAATCATGGTCTGGGCTTCAATTTCAACCAGAGGACAAGCAGGTATTTGGTTCATCCCTCCTAAAACAACCATTAATGCCAATGAATATCTGAAAATTTTGAAAAGCAATTTGCTTCAGTGGCTGCCTCTTTCTGGTTGTACAATCTTCCAGCATGATGGTGCACCATGTCACCGGGCAAAGGTGATTACTAAATGGCTTGCTGAGAAAAATATTCAGGTACTTTCTCCTTGGCTGGGATCCTCGCCTGACTTAAATCTAATAGAGAATTGCTGGCATCTGTTAAAGAAAAAGGTAGCTGCTTTAAAGCCATCATCATATGATGATTTGAAAAAAAAGATGTTGGTTTGGTCCAATGAAATCACTCCTGCTTATTGTGAAAATTTGATCAATTCTATGCCCATTACTGCTGTGCTAGCGGCTAAAGGAATGCCCATAAAATACTGACATGACATGGACATTTTGTGTTTTATTTCACAAAGTATGTTGTACTTATTCCTAGTAATATGAATTATATTGGAAAAAATTGACATGGTTGTTCATTGAATAAAATTTTATGGTTAAAATCAGTTTTTAGTCTTTTTCAACCCTTGGTCTCAGACTTTTGTCCAGTACTATATATATCTTATACTGCTGAGTTAATGAGCATGGTGATGTCATACTCACCTAACGTCAAATAGCCTGCTCTCGGGGGCTTCAGTACACACATCGACTGACATATAGCCGGACTCACAGTAGTGTGCTGCTACATCGACTGAGGGTTTGGTATGGGTCAGCAACTTTTTCATTTATTATTCTTTGTTTTCCCTCATCGTTTTCTAAAAACGCTCACTTAATTTAGGCTAGCAAAAAAAGTGAGCAATTGCGCATATAAATATGCTATAGTAGATATGTATATATATATATATATATATATATATATATATATATATATATATATATATATATATATATATATATATATGTGTATATATATATATCTACTATTATTATTATTATATATATATATATATATATATATATATATATATATATATATATATATATATATATATACTATTATTTTATATATATCTACTATTATTATTATGTATATATATATATATATATATATATATATTATATATATATATATATATATATATATATATATATATATATATATATATATATATATATATATATACTATTATTATTATATATATATATATATATACTATTATTTTATATATATCTACTATTATTATTATGTATATATATATATATATATATATATATATATATATATATATATTATATATATATATATATATATATATATATATATATATATATATATATATATATATATCTACTATTATTATTATTATATATATATATATATATATATATACTATTATTTTATATATATCTACTATTATTATTATGTATATATATATATATATATATATATATATATATATATATATATATATATATATTATATATATATATATATATATATATATATATATATATATATATATATATATATATATATATATATATATATATATATATATATATATATATATATATATATATATATAAGCAAATTATATATATATGTGTATATATATGTAAGGAAATTATTGTCAATTTTTGCTTATATATATATTGATTCAATTATACAGGATCCCAAATTTAAAGTAGACATGTCAGATAAAAGTTTTGATGAGCTAAGTTATAAAATTGAGTCTGATTACATTGATACTCTTCGTGTCAGATGTCACAAAGAAAGACAATATCGTAAGTTAATTTTAACTGTTTTTTATTTTACCTTTTTAAAGTTGCTTTCTTTAAATTAAACAAGAATAAAATTTTTAACATTTTTGTAAAACTTTTTTTTATTATATAATAGAATAAAATTTGATAAATTAGCAAAAGGGAACAATTATTTAAAATGTTTAATACCTTGAGCAAAAAAAAAATTAAAAAAAAAATCTTTCATTAGAAATATTAAAAAAAAAGTTTAAACAGTTGAAGCATTAAGTTTGTTTATCAATCATCATTTGTTGGATTAAATAGTTTTATTTGTTGTTCCAGAGAAAAATAGTTTTTTTATTCAATTTATATTATAATCAACACAGGCTAAAAATTTTATTATTACATTATAATGTAATCTTCTATTGTTTCACAATGGAAGCTATTAAAGTTCCACCACTTATATGAAACTATCGCACTGTAATAGTCTAAAAGAGAAGGAAGAAATATTTTATATAAGTGCAAGGGAGCACTAGATAAATTATAATACTTAGACAGATGTCCAGTATTGAGAGGTGGTGTTTGAAAGGGGAGTATTATTTAGTGATAAGGTTTGAATTCAATAATTTTACCTAATTGCTGTATTGCTCCAAAAATATTAATAAAAAGCAAATGTATTAGCAACAGACTTTAATAAATAAAAAAGTAATTTTTGAGTAAATTTTATCATGTTGGAAATGTTATTAAGGTTACCAATCAAATGATTAGTTATAAACAATTAAGCTTTTAGTTCACTCTCTAATTATGGTTATAAAATCTCTTAAAGAGATCCCTTTGAGACATGTGTTCATATCACGGCTATCTAAAACACAGGCCTATTACAAATGGAAGGTGTGTTGCGATTATATGTGACAATAATAAAGACGATGTAAATTTTTTCTCTCTCTTTGAAAATTTTGAAGAGAAACCATGGCTGACTAAAAATAACATATACTAAAGCCATTTTAACAGCATCAGTTGAACTAGACTCTAATATTTTCAAAGAATTAAATATTGCATTTTCCTTTTGCGTTAGTTGCCTCTGCCAGTTTATGCAAGTATGACCAACATGAAGCTCACGAAAGTCTGAATCATATTGTAAAAGTAGTTTTGAGTGCTCAATTACTAAATGCTTTTTAAATAGGGTCAGATGTAAAGTCACCATGTTTTTCAAATTCGTGAGATGTACTTAACAAATATTTTGTTAACTCTACTATTCCTTTTAAGGTATGGACTATTGCTTTAGATATTTCAATAGTCAGTGTTTTAATTCTTTTTTTTTCCATTATGGCAATCCATATCTTCATAGATTTATGATAATGAAAGTAGCTGTTGCAAAAGAAGATCATCTGGTGATGCAATGACAGAGCGCAATGGGTCTCTTAACCTTTTATCATCACCCAGTTTGTGAAGATTAATAATTTTCCATGCATCTATAAACTTTTTTAGAAATACAAACGTTCCTTTAATATTGGTTTGGTCTATTTTTGGATGTGTTGATAAAGCAGAAAGTGGTTCATCACAAAAAACTCTCAAACACAAAGAAACTTTGTGTTTGAGAAATTTTGTCTCTCAACAGATTTTGGAAAGATTGAAACTGTATTTAAATGTGAAAGAGTCACAAGTGTCTTACTTTCTAAATTGTAAAGGTTCTTAAGATCATCCCACATTGCAATTAAATTATCATCATTGTCCTTAAACTGAATTTCTTGAGTTTTTTCAGTAATCTAATTATTTCTTATGTTTTTCCATATATGAACATAATCATAAAGTAAAAAAATGTTATTTTAAGTCAGCCATGGTTTCTCTTCAAAGGTTTCAAAAAGAGAGAAAAAAATTACATTGAATTTATTGTCACATATAATCTCAACAGACCTTCCATTTGCATTTGAAATTGATCTAAGTATATAATCAACTACTTCAAACTGTAAATTAGAATCGAGACAACATACTGGAATCATGCATACTGTTAAAGTGGATCCACCAAAAAGACATTTAATCATAACAGCTAATACTATTTTTGCTAATTTATCTGGTTTATTAACAGATATCCCAAAAAGTTCTTCACCTTGATAAGTTAATGAAGCTTTAACATATTCTTCATCAACTATTAAAATCCAGTCGTTGTTGTTTAGTAAGTTTGCAAAAAAACGTGCAAAATAAATTCATCATTGTTTAACTTTGAAGCTTTTGATGTCAATTTTTGTAGAGTAAACACACTGAGAAAATACACTGAGAAGCTGATAATCATTGGAAAGCAATCATTTCAAATTCACTTTTAAAGTGCTCTTGAAACAGAAAAATATTCAAAAGCTCAGACAATAGTTTTTGAAGAATATAGTGTATCAAAAAAAAAAAAAAGAAAAATAGAAGGTGGAGAAAAGTCTTTCTTTACCATAAATATTAATTTTTTTAAAATTTATATGCCAATGTTCAGAATATACAACAGTGTATTTGCTTTCAGGAATGTTGCTTCTTGGAATAGCTGATAGCCACTTTCTACGTTCTTCTAGATCTTTTGGTAATCTGTAAACAACACACTTTTTTTTTTCTGTTAAATAATTAGTAGAGCAATTTGCAACATTTTTCACTTTATAGGCATAATAAGCCTCAAGAAATATTTTTTCTTCTTCTAATTTTAAGCAATGATATTAACCTTTGGGAAATTTTTCTGAGTTATTTGGCCTCTAGTTATTTTTATGGTTTGCACGAATAATAGGCCCGTGTTTTAGATAGCCATAGTTTTTCTATAATAAGTTATTTCTAAAGCGAACACTGAATTAAAATATGGAAGAAATTTTGGTCTGCAACAGAGATTTTGGTTAGAAATTTGCTTTTTATTTAAAATGGCTGCCAAATATTGGTTAAAAAATATTTTTCTGCAAACATATTCATGTAATATATCATTCTATATGCTTTCTTCTGTGCTGGAGCCAAATATTACAGAAATTTGTGTTAAATAGCGTTTTAGGTCAGGAACATGTGTTTCCTGTCCAAAAATATTGCAGGAACATTTGGGAAATGTTTTAAACTTAGTAAATAGTTGCGAAGGTAGGCGTGCTCCTTTGTGTGCATATACTTGACCACTAAGGTGTTTATGTGACCAACAGCACATTCAGTCTAGTATAAATAACCTACCTAAGTGACCGAATGGAGTGCCTGCAAGAACAGCAGCATGTTCATTTTGCTATAAAAGCCCATTGTTTTAGCACTGATTTTTCATTCGCAGTCTTGATGCACACCGATCCACCATGCCAAAGAACACAGATAGTTCAGTCAAAACTAAAAGTGATACTATAACTTGTGAAAATCTAGGATTAGTGTACCAAAAAGAATCGACGTTTATCAGTAAATCCAAGTTGCTTAGTGGTGCACATTGGGCACCTGTGTTCAGTGAGACTTGTTTCTAAAGTTTTCTCATATAATGACACAAGCGAAATAGTGGCACAGGAACTATCCGACAACTGGATATCGATGAACATCTATCCACTGTGTCAACAAAACACAGCCACGAAGATAAAAGATACTTTCAGGACTAAAATACCAAACTTTCAGGACAATTCAAGTTATAAGAAAATGAGTCAATACATAAAGCAGATTCAACAAGGATTCAGAAAGCTTAAGATTTTAACATGCATATGGCAAGCAGAGCTAACGACATCAGAACAAATAATATGGCATACCAACGGAAATTAGAAGATTTGTACAGCATTAAAATGACAGATAAAGACAAGGCATTCCATTATGATAATTGCTACAAGTCTTACTTGGCAATTTGTACATTGACAGTTTCATGAAAATGGAATTACATGTGAAGAGAGACGAGGAAAGACATCAGTCAAATAAGAAAAAGCGAAAGACTATGGAGGAAACCAGTAAGCAGAAAAAAGCATGCAGAAGTCTGCAGTATATGGATGCCCTAAACACGATTCATGAAACAACCCTACTAGTCCAGGAGACATGTTCATAAAGATTCCGGTAAGAACTAGTTGTAAATATTTGGACAAACCTATAATAAGATGCACAATCCAGTGTTTAATACTAGGGATCGATTATGTTGACACATATAACTCTGGAGATTGATCATGCTATCAGTAAGGTATTTTGTGATACCAAGAAGAAAATAGGAGTTCAGAAACAGCTGAACAAATCAGCTGGACAGAAAGCATTTACGTCCATCAACTTCAATATATGCTCTTGAACAAATTGCCATAGTTACTCTTGTTAAGTCATGCTAGTCACTTCATATCCTTATACACAGAATACAAAGACAGGATGGATCTTCAAAATATTGAACATTGTGAATTCAGAGGTTTTGTTTCTAATTGCTTTGGGTGCATTGCTAAATTAGCAAAAGAGTTTGTAACCAGGAGATAATAAATCCAAAATATTTTTGAAACGACTTTAGACAAAAACTTGAACAAACTTGTACTAGCCATATTAGTTTATATACAGAACAATTGGTTTATTCTCTGTTCAGAAGTGTATGCCGAAGTAGGCGAGATGGTTATTTTTTCTTCAATAGAATTACTTGGAATTTACAAAAAGATTGAACAGACAAACCGAGAATTACTAAATATAATTTATGCTAAAGCAATGAGCAGGAATTTTTTAAAGAAAAATTATCACAACTGAAAGAAGTTAGAAGCAATGCTGACTTAAACTGTGGCAAACTGCTTGCAATCTAGGCTGAAATTATAGACACATTAATTTGACAGTTAAAAGATGTTTGTTCATGTGATTGATGATATTGGTTATTAAAGTGGTCCGAGTTTATGATTTTTAAACAGCTTGCAAAATTCTTAGTTTATTCAGTTGGTTTGTGAGTCAGGTTACAAATTGTTAATCAATTATTGTATTGGCGCCTCATCTTTTTTAACAGTAAAAAGTCCAGATTATTACAATATCAGACTTGTGCTACTTTGTATGTATTAAATGATTGCAGGATATAACAACTCATAGAACCTTGTAATAATAATTAATGTCATAATAATATTATATGATATGATCAATATAATATAATAATAATATGAGAACCTATTTGATCTATTTGATTTAAACATAATAATACTGTAATAGAATTCAGCAACCTCAAAATCCTATAAAAAGAGATATTAGAGGCCATGGTTGTGGCTTCAGTACTTGAAATTTGAGGAAGTGGCTATTTTTAGCGACCATCTTTTAAAAAATTGTATTTTTTTTATCTAAATTGTCGTGCTAGCTGCAATTTTTTTCAGAATCAAATTCTGCATCAAATTTTGCCTCAGAAAACTCTCGTTAACTTGAACTTTTTAAAAAAAGTTTACTATTTTCCATACCCTATTTATAAACATAAGTTGTGACTTTTTAGGTAAAACATCAAAGGAATATTAGGGTAGAATATGAAAATTTGAGCCTATTTTTAACCTGCTTTTGACTTTGATTAAAAAATATATTTAACAAAATCTCTTAAAAATATCTTAAAATCGTGATTAAACATTTTTATTGAATTTTATTTTTAAAAAGTAAAAATTTTTAAAAGGGTTTTTTTAAATAATGGTTAATAACTTAAAATAAACCTATTAGAAGGGTAATAACCCATAAAGTATGACTAAGGAATCTTTACCACATTTTTATCATTTTTCTATGAAATATAACAACTCATAGAACATTATAATGTCATTAAATATGATCTGTTTGATTTAAACATAATAACACTGTAATAGATGCTTTTATTACAAAAGAAATTCACATTTAATGCACCAAAATACAAAAAAAAAAAAAAATCTTTTATCTCTGACAACCATTTCCCAAGGAATGTAAAGTTTTCTTATGGTTCATAACATGCAGATTAAATATTAATAATAAGATTATTAGTAGAGATAAAACCTTATAAGATTATTAATAGAGACAAAACCTTATAAGATTATTATTAGAGACAAAACCTTATAAGATTATTAATAGAGATAAAACCTTATAAGATTATTAATAGAGACAAAACCTTATAAGATTATTATTAGAGACAAAACCTTATAAGATTATTAATAGAGATAAAACCTTATAAGATTATTAATAGAGACAAAACCTTATAAGATTATTATTAGAGACAAAATCTTATAAGATTAATAATAGAGACAAAACCTTATAGATTAGAGATAAGATTAACTAATGTCATCTGTTTATTTTCAAAAGAAATTTTATGTTTTATGTTATGAAATTTTATGTTTATATAAAAAAAAAAAGTTTGTGCACATTCTTTAAAAATATTGCATTGGTCCCAATACAATGGTCTATAAAGAAAATGTTGATAATTCATGAGGTTACCTACTTTAGGAGTCCCAATAAAGATACTTTTACCATTATTTTGCATAAAGTTTTGATGAAATGAAGCTTTGCCAAACGATGCTGATTGTTTTTAATGTTTTTAAATTTTCTCACTTATTAGAGCTGAACTCTTTGAAGCAACAACGAGTGATAAGAAAAAGATTTTTTATGATGTTATAAAAATATAACATCATTTAAAAAAAATTTTATTCAAGTTTTTGGGCAGTGAAAGCACCTAACCAAAAATTTATAGTAAATAATATTAAAGATAAATTCAAAACTTTTATTTGTCTTATAATCCATGAAGTTTGCCTCTACAAGCCTTTTGATCTTGATGTAAATGAAGATTAGGGTAAACAATGTTATTAGTGCATAAAAGAGATGGAGAAGTGATACCTGAGACAGTGGAACATTAACATAATGGGCTCTTGTATATTTGTATGACTACCAAAAGGCAGACGAGATTCGAAAAAAAAAAACTTTTAATAAAATGTTAAAATCAATCAGTTTTCTTTACACTAATTTTTTTTTTAACTTCATGTTTCATTTGGTTTTATTTTGAAATTTTGATATTTTTTAATTTTTAAAATTGTATAGCTTTTTTTTAATTGGTGAAAATAATTGTTTGCTAATAAGAGCAACTAATTTTTTAAATTCATTTTTTATATTTATTTATTTTATTCATTTTTTTATATTCATTTTTTATATTTATTTGTTTTTTTGTGATTAACTTAAAAGGTTGTTCTTAAATATTTTTTTGTCGTTTCTGAGAATATTTATTACAGTTAATAATATTATTATTGCTAATCTGAACAATTATTCAAATTAAGTATTTCCAAGTTTTAAATTTCACATTTGTATTTTTAAAATTTTATTAATTTATTTGAACAAGAATATATATGTTTGAAAATATTATAAATTATTTTATTTTTCAATCATAGAAGCAGAACTTTATTACCAGGCTCAAATATGGGGAAATTCTGAGATAAAGAGACGTGCTCAATCATATCAGCTTGATTCATGTAATCGCCTTCAAGAAATTTCGTCGGCTTAGTAAAACCTAGCCCTTTAAAATGTTATTAGTGCGTCATTTTTCAAAATGATAACTGCTATTTCATTAAGGCTATGTTATAAGATTTTCTAATGATATTCAAGTCGCATAGCCGAGCAAAGAGTCAACACGCATCCGAAATGTTGAATAAAAGATAAATATGTGAATACAATATTGAACTTACATTATACAACGTGAACTACAATACCTAAATATTTATGATTACATAAATTAATTTTATAATTTTATGTTTTAAATTTTTTTATAGCTCATTTTTGTTGTATATTTATAATTTTTTGTTCCATTTTTTTTAGTGACTGTTTAATAAATTCAAACATGGTACTATCTCCTATATAATGGTACTATCTCCTATATCATGGTGCTATTCCCGTTAAACTTGTATAGAGCATGATATATTTCCTGTAAAATCTTTTATCGTGTTCCTTTTTTAAAAAAAGACTACTTGTTAAAAAGCAATCAAGATATTTAAAAAGTTAATTAGAATTTTTAATTTTATATCGGAGAAAAAAAAAACTTAGTTTATATTTTCATTATAGAAGGCATCCATAAAGTACGTACGCAGTGAAACCACTAATTTAGGACCTCTTCTCCCACTGGTACAAATCTGAATGTGTTTAACTTCGCTCCCCCCTTCTGCGTACGTACCTATAATTTACTACAAAATCAACCCCAACGCACGAGTTGTTCAAAACATTAAAACCAAAAAAACATTTAGATAATTTGAAATATTATATTTAAAATATTATTTAACATTATTTAAACTCGTGAAATTCAACAATTTTATTTAAAAAAATATAACCAAGTTTTAAGAGAGATAGAGAGGAAGAGATAGTCAAACCGCTCACATATACACTGTTTAAATTATCTTCTCTTGTTTTTGGATAATCCCCCTCCCCTCATATCTGAGTACATAATTTATAGAAGACCCTACCCGACGGGCATTTGTTTTTAAAAGTTACGATCTAAATTTATGTTTAAAAGACGTTTAAAACACATTTAAAACACATTTAGAACGTAACTTTTAAAAACAAATGCCCGTCGGGTATAACAAAACACCTCATTTTTAAAATCTGTGTTTTGCGCGACGCGTTCGAAAACTTTAAAATTCTAAATATTACATAATTAAAAAACCATTCAGAGCTTAACATGAAATATTTTATGCTTTGAAATTCAAGTGAAATAAATTCTTAAATATATTGACGAGAAACTCAAAGTTTTACGCGGTTTGGAACATAGCTGAATATAAATTTAGAAAATATGTTTTTAACACGGTTTTATTCCATACCTTCCTGAGAAAGCATGCATTGCAATCTCAGTTGCGTCAGTTGACGCAAGTAAGTTTGGACTATTTATAGGTCATTTTGCTTAAAGTGGCGCAACAACATTAAATATGCTAGTTAGGTTATTCGCATTTTGTGTTACTTACCGCACCTGCATTGAATATGCAGATAAAGGGGGAGAGGGATATGATAGACAGATATGGGGGAGGGGCTATAATATACAAGCAGCCGTGGCGCATAGTTAGAGTTCTGTCTCAGAATCCAGAGGTCCGGCGCCAGCTCTAGCCCAACATTGGTACAAAAGGAGACGTGAACTTTTAGTTAAATGCTCTCCCGCGGTGCTCCGTGATAAGACCGTAATGACTTCTGGGAGCACCTAAATAAAAAAAAAAAAAAAACGGATATGCAGTTTGGATAACAGTATTTTTCCATAACTGTATTGTTCACTGATGGTTTTAATATTATTATCACATTCATCACTTAAATAAGTCTTTGCCTTTCTGAAATCACTATTACTACCCACATCTGCTACTGTTATAATATCTGTTTTGTTAAAATGTTTCTTCAGGTTTATAATATTTTTTAATTTTATTATTTCTCTTTGGTACAAAAACATCAGGGATTTTTAATTAACACAACTTTCCAAAAACTAAATTGCCTTTTGATGTTGTTTAAATACAACGTCTTGCCAGTAATCAATAAACCTACTCGGATAAATAAAACCTAAAAAAACTGCAAATAATAATATACTTATAAACAATTACTTAGAAAAGTCATTTCAGTCAGGCATTTTTAAAACAGATATTAACGATCATTTCTCGATCTACATTACCATTAAAAAAAGATTTACAAATTTGAAAAAATGTATCTTAACCACTACAAATACAAATGAACTATTGAATAAATTAAATATAAAAAATTGCAATAGTGTCTATAAAACTGTGCAACAAAATCAAAAAAAAAAATTATCTGCAACTTAAACAACAGAGTCATTTATTATATGCAATGTTCTGATTACAGGGATACCTTTGGATTCCCTCTAACACGTCCAGAAGTGAAGTTAATCCATTCTGAAAACTTAGTCCTACTATAAACTACTATAAATTATACTTTTTTTAAAGCTTTTGATTAGGAGTAATCCTGCTTGTTTTATTCAATTCATTATGTTTATTTATTATTTATTCAATATTTTTAAAAAATTAAAACAAATTAAAGAAAAATTAAAGCAAATCTTTTATTAAATTTTTTTAAAAATTAAAATAATAATAAAATTCTTTTCTATTTCTATTTGTATATTTAAACTTGTATATTTGTATATTTAACATTTGAATATATTACACTGTTATATAGCGTAATATATGTCTTGTAATTTAACGAAGTTACGTTGTTTTCGTATTTTTATTTTTGATATTTTTTTAAAGGGGTTTGGCGATATTGACAATACCAAGTTTGTCTTCTGCTTGCTTCATCCATGTATTTATACACATGCTAAATTTTTTTCTTTTTATTGACGAAATACATATTAAACAAAAAAAGAGTAATATTTTAATAAAAAAGCTTTACTCAGAAAGTTAATGTTTCTTTTGCCAAATTTGATTTAAACACGGACTCTTTCATTATAACATGTCTATTTTGAGGTCTTTTTAAAAAATTCCTTCTATGATTTTGGCATCGTTCATTTTTTGAAATCTCTTTGAGATACAGAAAAGCATCCGAGTTGCCTTTACGTTCTTCATCACGTTCTTCATCAATCCCAACTTGACGTGAAGAAGTGGGAGTTCACACTGTATTTTCCTGGTTCATATTTAGATCTCAACGGCCACGATTTCTGTGAATAATGCTGCTTATAAGCACGGCTGTCCGGGTAACAGTATCGAAATCTCAAAAATAAGCTCGAAATTGAAAAAGAGCAGTTATATCGAAAAGATGGAATAATATCGAAATTCTTTATTATAGAATAATATCGAAAATGCTAATTATAATTAAGCTCAAAATTAATGAAAAGGAATAAGATTATAATTAAGCTCAAAATTAATGAAAAGGAATAAGATTATAATTAAGCTCAAAATTAATGAAAAGGAATAAGATTATAATTAAGCTCAAAATTAATGAAAAGGAATAAGATTATAATTAAGCTCAAAATTAATGAAAAGGAATAAGATTATAATTAAGCTCAAAATTAATGAAAAGGAATAAGATTATAATTAAGCTCAAAATTAATGAAAAGGAATAAGATTATAATTAAGCTCAAAATTAATGAAAAGGAATAAGATTATAATTAAGCTCAAAATTAATGAAAAGGAATAAGATTATAATTAAGCTCAAAATTAATGAAAAGGAATAAGATTATAATTAAGCTCAAAATTAATGAAAAGGAATAAGATTATAATTAAGCTCAAAATTAATGAAAAGGAATAAGATTATAATTAAGCTCAAAATTAATGAAAAGGAATAAGATTATAATTAAGCTCAAAATTAATGAAAAGGAATAAGATTATAATTAAGCTCAAAATTAATGAAAATAATCAGAATCAGAATAGTATCAAAATTTAAAAGATAGTAATTCAATTAAAAATAAAATTTTTGTTCTAAATTAGAATTAATATACTAAATGAAAACCAATATTTATTTTCAATAATCACCTAATTTAATAACTTTAATTGCAAAATTTACAAATAAGAAATGGAATGTTAATTGTACATTCTATTTTTTTCACTATATTATTTGTACATATAGAATGATACATCTTACAAATGGAATGTAAATTGCTCTAATAAAATAGTCTCATATCTCGAAATTTTTATTTTTTGAAATAATTCTTTAAAATTAATTTTCAATATTATTCCCAAAAAAATGTTTCGACATAATTCCTTCTAAATGAATTTCGAACTTTTTTTTTCGAATTAATTCCTTAAATTATTCCAAAATTATTTAGCATTATTCCCAAAAAAACGTTTCGGTCAAAAAAAATACGATATTAATTCGTTTTTCAAGCGATTTTTCCCCTTCTGTTTTCCCGGGAAAAAAAATAGTTTTATCTATAACAAAAATTATGAAAATATTAAAAAATTATTTAAATATTATTCATAACTTAAAACTAATAAGTTCATTTTCATGTATTTTGTCTATTAAAAATGCATGAATTTAATCTCTAAGATCATTAATTGGGCATAATGAATCAACCTATTCAATGTACCCCAATTTTATGTGCCCACCATAACAAATTAAGTTTAAATCTAACTTCTTGAGACATAAATGTTGTTAAAAAAAAAGCAAAACTACTAAAAGGAAGCATACATATCAATAATCTGAATGAAAAAATTCAACTTTTGAAATTATTTTACCCATGATCTCCATAACACACATAAGGACGGTAAGAAAATTTACATTAGTTAGCTAAAAACAAAAATTACCTATCAACAACCGGTAGTCAAAAAGTATGTGGCAACAACCTTAAATAAAGATGACTGATAAATGAGCACATAAAATGATTACATTATCAAGATAAACAAAGTTCTAATCTTTGAGAAAATGCCAAATATTCACTGTGCCTTTCGATCCACTGTACCCCAACTTCCCCTACATTGCAAAATATAAACTTTTTAATTCAAAGCAATTCAGATTTCAGAAAAGACATTTTACTGAACATGCCATTATTATTATTATTATTACTATTATTGCTATTATTGTTATTATTGTTATTATTATTATCGTTATTATTATTATTATTATTATTACTATTATTATTATTTTAAAATCTATTTGCCTTCAATAAAAAATTACAATTACAGAATATTCAACTTTATATATAATTCAAATACTTTTAGCAACTTTCGTGGAGATATTATCGCTTAGTTGTTTCCAGGATAAGTTTTCATCTAAAAAAGCTCCAAGAAGTTTTGTAATTTTTTCCCTTTTCAGTATTGTATTATCAATAAAGAGGTCGGGCATTGTATTTGGCAGGCTTTTTT